TTTTAATGGCAAAGAAATTTAGAACACAGTGTAACCTTTTAATGGTAAAGAAATTTAAAAAAACATTTTAACCTTTTAATGGGAAAGATATTTAAAACTTTGCAAAAAAACAAACACTGAATTAATCATATTTCAATTTTAAAAATTAAAATTTAATATGTATGTAGTATTAAGTTGGATCCTATAATAAGTTTTCAAATTTACACTAGCATTTTAGTTTTATTGAATTCCATCACATGTGATACATTTCTCATATCGCTTGACGAGGACCCATCTGGTCCAAAACGTATGAATGAAATGAAACATTTATTTGTGGACACTGGCTTAAGTGCACAACAGCCTGACCGCTGCTGTTACCTGGCAAGCTGCAGTCCTGCATCGTTGCGAGACCTACATCATCTGCTCTCTATCTATGGCTCTACAGCCCTTTGTTGGGCCTTGGCAATTTGTTCAGTTTCTCGATCTTTTGACATATTCTGTAAGACTCCTTGGGCGGGGATCAGCCCACCGCAAGACCGCACACAGGAAAGCACAAACACAGTATAAATGCACATAGACATCAATGCCTTAAGTGGGATTCGAACCCAAGATCCCAGTGTTCGAGCTGGCGAAGATAGTTCATTTCTTAGACCGCGGCCACTGTGCTTGGCCTACATCATCTACGAAAGGTGGACTTCTCTGTAAAATGTTCTTCCTCTTTAAGTAAATTTGTAGACTGATATTCCGGTCCATTCACTTGCTTAGAAACATATGTAAGGTCAGGTATCCTATATATTTTCCTCGCTCATTAGTTTAAGTCCTTCATATAAGCGCAATGAATCACGCATGTATTCTTAAGGCTCCTTATTTAGACTTGTTGGCGAAAGCGTTGTTAAAATCTTTGGATATACAAGTATGTCACACAACCTCGAAACCTTTCTGTCGGTTTCTTACTATTTCACTTGCTGCCATACTTTGTGCTTCATATGATTTGTAATCCCGTATTTCTCTAATTCTTATTTTTTATATTTTTGTGAGATCAGTTTTTCTTTCCTCCTGTGTCAGTTTATACAAACAGTTATAACAAACAATAGTGAATTAACAGATTCTGTAAAAAATTAACTCAGAATGTATGCATTTAGTTACGTGTCATTTTGAATGCATGACATTTTTATATAAAGCCTACAATATTTCTAATTTGGAATTCGTGTACAACATGTCATAAAACCATAACAGTTTTTCTTTCAACGTAATTCGCGTGTGTTTGTGGAACCCTTAAAACAAAAATGTTTAAACCCTGGAAGAGTCAGCTAACATTTTTCTGAGCTAACTAACCAACCCCGTCTTATGTGATATTCGAAGATTTGTTACAATGCTCAGAAAGGTCTACTACTGGATCCTATCCTGAGCCAGCTGAATTCAGTCCATGTCGTCACACACGGTTTCCTTACAAGCATTATGTAGTTCTGTTGCCCCTCCCCTTGTGCTTCAGTCTCCCAGGTGATCCCTTTCCTTCACATTTATCTACTAAAACTCTGTATACATTTCTCATCTCTCTCATGGGCCTACATGCTACATGCTCATCCATCTCACATTTGACTTAATCACTCTAATAATAGTTAAGATTATGCAGCTTTTCCTGGGTAGCCCAGTCAATATAATTACCATGTAAGATTTGAAGTTTTCACGGCGGTGACTATGAAGAATGCCGTCTTCTGAGATATGGCGCCGTGTAGATATTGTGTAAGTTGACGTTTCGGAGGAACGTATCGCCTCCATCTTCAGGGTATAAAAATCCCCGAGCGAGGAATCAGCGTGAGCTGCAGGCGATACGTTCCTCCGAAACGTCAGTTTACACAATATCTACATCGCACTACATTCCAGAAGACAGCATTCTTTGATGTAGTTACTATGCTACGGGCTGAACCACGGAGGAATAGTGTTTCTGTTTCTGTCAGGGGCAAAAATAAATTTTTCTCCTCCAGTTTGCAGACCAGCTTTGCTTGCCATTCTCTCATCCAATGGGTACCTTTCTGCGGGTGTAACGGGTCTATGGCCCGAAGGTGTCTCTCTCCTCCATGTAATGCCAATGGTAGAAAAACGTGGAACTATGCCTCCACTTCCCGTAAGATTTCACGGCCCTCTGCTCCGTCTAGTAAGGGGGACAATTGTACAGTTATCCTGCCTGCCTACACCAGTTTATCCAAACACATTTCGACCTACTTTCCTCGTCGCTTCGTTCTTAAACATCCTCTAGTTATTATTCTTTTCTTTGATTGAAAGACCGAGTGTCGTTACAATTCAGACTAAAGAAAGAGATGAAATATTTTAGGGTTTTAGAAAGTAAGTGGGAAGAGGGACTGACGGGCTGCAGTAGGAAGGTTTCTACGTGCTCTGTGACGTAGAATGCTAGAAGGTCACATGTTTTGCTTACTGAAGGCAGCGCTATTACATATTTCCCTTTCCTTTCCGTATGTTCCACACGGGGTAATTGAAGACTGCTTGTATGCATGACGCAGACCAGTAGCTGTAACACATAATACATTTCCCGTTTAGGTCATGTTTAGTGCGCAGGTCAGGATGGTTTATGGTATAAACATGTCTTGCTTCACTCGTGGTCGCTTTTATCTCTTTCTATCTCTCTCTCCCCCTCCCTTCTTTCTTCGGCGCTTCGGATTAATGAAGTTCATGAGCTATTAAATGAGATTAACTTCACAACATTTCGAAACTCTCTATACATATGTATGTATGTACAACAGTTTGTAAATGTAGTTGTCACTTACTTAATGTGTACAATATTTTCTTTTGTTATGGTTGTTTTGAGCGGTGGAGTAGTTGGCTCAGGCACTGTTACAAGCCGGAAGGCCGCGGGTTCGATTCCCGATGAGGTCATTGGATTTTTTTTCAGTTGACCTAGTCCTTCCATCCGCACTATGGCCCTGGGGCCGACTCAGCCTGTAACAGAAATGAGTACCAGGAATCTTCTTGGGGTGGGTTTAAAGGGCGGCCGGCGCGTAAGGCTGACAACTTTACCGCCATCTATGAGCCGATTGTCTAGGGAAAATGTGGGAGCATCGACTTCTCATAACCCTATGGGCCTTCACAGTCTGTCACAGGAATGGCTTTCTTTTTGTTACTTTCTATGATTATTTTGTCTTTGTCATTTTCCGATTTTGTTACACGTTATTTGACTTTGTGTAATTTTCATTCTTTGACCCCTGAGATAGTAATATTTTCATGTGTAAGGATATAGGCTATATGTGATAGAAATTTTTAGTAATGAAAGTAATTGCTATCCAGTGGTTTCCGAAGGTTGTTTTCCTGAACATAAGTGATCCCGGAATGAGGACCATGTCTCCTCTGTATAATGCTGAAGTTAATGCGTGAAGTTGTCCCAGAATTCCAGTAGGCCTTGGTCTTGGTGCTTTAATTCACCGCAGTGACTTCTACCCTGACTCTTTACAGATCCAAGTCTTTTTTTTTAATTTGTGCTGCTTAGAATTGGAGCACCATGTTCGACCGCCGATTAATTTATCACTTTTATTTTGTTACTGACTTTAAAGGATCAGGAAATAATCTTGATAACTGAGTACATGTGCATGTATATATATACCGAAAGTTGCACGGTCATGTGTTTGGCATTCCTTCTACATATTCGGAAATTCTCAAGTTGAAATCTCTACACGGTGACTATTTATACTGGTGATTTTTCTCGCTCCTTCAAATAATTGTTGGGATGGTACTTTGAATTGGTTCCTAAGGCATGAACTGTTTTCGCTCGCTCGAACGCTGGGATCGTTGGTTCGAATCCCACTCAAGTAATGGATGTTTTATGTGCGTATGCGTTTATTCTGTGTTTGTGTTGTCCGTTACTTAGGTAGAGGCCTTGCTACAGATTGATCACTCGTCCAAGGAGTCCTACCGTCTGCGAAAACTGATTACGTAACTGAATAAGAGGCCAGGGCCCTGAATGGGCTGGAAGAGCAATAAAAATCACATCTTATTCGAAGCCATATGTTCTGATTTTCTGAGAACGGCGTTAAATAAACCAAGAAATCAAAATGAGATATTTGTTTCTTATATTCCAATGCAGTATATTTTCATTCAGATCTGTTCTCTCTGTTCCCATGAGGTTCCTAGGAGGAAAAGTAACCGGGTTTTTAATGTGAAAAGTGATTGCACTAGATCGCTATAGAATAGGGTGCTTGAATTTTATTTTGAGCCGTAGATTTAACAAAAGTATAACTATCAGAATTACTACGGTTTAGGAAGTTTTCCTTTGTCTGGTATCCTAAAAATAGAGAGCGCAACGTCGAAAACTGTATTTGTTTCCGTCCTCAGGTGAGGAGGGAGACACATACCCTCTTACTTACGTTAGAAGGAGCTAACCTGTATCACTGGACAACCTATGTCAGTAAATCATAGCTATACGTGTATATGTACCCAAGATCGAGCTTGGTCAAGGACACATAACAGTAGATCTGGTTGTCATACACCATAATTAGAACCCTTAAAAATTACGAAACATATAATTCCTTGTCGCTGAGTACTGCATTACACACACACACACACACACACAGACATACACGAAGTCCCCACTCTTGTGAGTAGCTGCCTTCCTGCAGGGAGTTCGTAAAGTGAAATTTCGTAGTGGGAATCACTATTTTTCGTGGGCGCAATAATATAATTGGGGTTACGCATTCAAAAGGCCTCTCTCAAAAGAAAATCAACAAAGCTATTATCTGAAATGAAACATAACAGCAGTTGTAATCATTGGTGATCCTGTTATGTTGCAGAATACGGACATAAAGTGCTTATGCTGTTAAACAGCGTACACTTGTACCGATGCTCACGAGAGAAGAGCAAAAGTCGAATCGGAGTCGATTTCGGATGAGCATAGTCGGGTTCTGATTACAAGTCAAGTGGATTTTATGCACTTTATTGTCCAAGTTCGTACGAGTATATACAACATTTCGTAATACGAATTTTCGTAAAGCGATAGAAATCTGTACAGGTATTTTATAAAATACGTTGGAAATTTCACGGAAACTTCCCTTCCCCTGTTGAAAATCTGTTGTAGACCCTCTGTAAGTCTCCTACCCACCAACCCCCTACCCCAGTTCCTCATTCAGGCACTCCCTTGTGGCTACTGCCTACCTGCATTTCACCAGCGTTTGCGGAGGTGCCATATCCTCTCTGGCTACCGTATTGTCCTAATGGAAAAAGAAACCAGATGATCAAGCACATTTTATACACACTGAAAGGTCGTTGTACATTTTTAGTCAGNAGCCTTGAAGGGGGGGGGGGGAACAGCGAAATGGAAAATACTCTGGGTTATCACGCCATGTATACTGGTAATATTTCACTGACGTTTCGCAGGAACGTTTTTTCTTCTTCAGGGTTGAAGCGTATGCCTGCTTTTAATATTCCTTAGTCCTGGAGATAGAAGCAAGATCTTCATCCGTAACGCCTGTAAACTTACCACGCTACATTTCATCACATCTGACCAGTTAGAATTTCTCAGAGCGCCGATGTCAGAACTTCATATCTACCCTTTAAAATAATGCCTTATGTTGAAGTCATGCCTGCTTGTCTCTGTATCAGCGCCTAAAACCTTGAACATATTTTTCTTTCTTTCAATAAGGAAGTTTTACTAAAAGTTGTTGGGAAATTCCTGTTGCCATCCATACTGTTTTATTATGAGCTCGGATAGCTCAGTATAGACCGGGGTTCTATTCCCGAGAGGGGCAATTAATTTTCCTTTATTCCAGACCGGCTCTGGAGCACACTCAGGCCCCCTTCAATGGGTACAGGAGCCTCTTTCTCCTGATGTGAAGTTGATCACTCACCTTCATCTAGTTCCGAGGTCAAGAAACGTGGAGCTATACCTCCACTCTCCCCATACGTCTTTATGTCGTGGTGCTTAATCAGGCAAAGGGACAAGTCATTTGAGACATGGGTGCCTCTATTCGTTTATCCTGTATTTATGCTGTCCTGTGTGCAGGTACGGCCTTGCGACAGGCTGATCCCCATCCAAGGGGGCCTACCGACTGTGTAAATGATCAGGAAACCGAAGAAGCAGCCAAGGCCCAACAAAGGGCTGTAGAGCCAAAGACAGACAGACAGATAGATAGCTAGCTAGATAGATA